TGCTGACAGAAGAACACTTGCTTACAAAACTTTAATATTCCTGTGATAACACAGCAGCTAGTGGGCAGAAAGAATGAAGTAAAGCATGCTCTAATTTTTACTTTGTTGGTCTTCCTGCATCTCTTCAAATAAACATTTTCCTGCAGTTTCAGTATTGTTACTGAAGAGTACCATATAGAATAGGTAAGGTTCAAAAGGATTTCTGGAGATCATCTAGTCCCTCAAAGCAGGGTCAAATTAAACAGGTTTAAGTTACACAGGGCCTTTTCCAGTCACTTTTCAATTAACTCCAAGGACAGAAAATCCACAAGCTCCCCAGACAACTTAGTCCAATGTTTGACCGCTCTCACAGTAAAAAAAGTGTTCTTGTGTTTAAATGGTATTTCTTGTATTTCAACTTGTGCCCACCACCTGTTGTCCTGTCACTGAGCGCTACAGAGAAGAGCCTGACTCCATCTTTACTGCCTTCCTTTTGAGTCCCTATATTTCACTTGCACCTTCCTATTAATTACAAAACATAGTAATTAATATACTATATTAGCTGTTTCTGGAAGGCATTTACCCAAGCTAAAAGTTCACAGCTGGCTGGAGGGAAACTTGATAGTACAATAATCCAACAATTCACCAGCAACACTTTGCATAACATTGCCACCACATAGCTTCCTGAAACACACTATGCACATAAAACACCAAAACACCCTTAATGCAACTATTTTTAAAATAGAAATTGGCATGCGGGCAAGTAAGTTGTTTATTCAAGCTCTGCGTTATTTGCATTCATAGAAGCATGATATTATTCAATGTTAAGGGCTGTTTCGTCTTTTTAAGAAACACATTTTTAATTACAGACTATGCAGTGTGGCTGATCATACTGTTGCATTCTGCATGCTAATCATAAATTTGTTTTTCTTGTCAGTACACATAGAATCATAGAATGGTTAGGGTTGTTACATCAAGAATGCTAGTCTTATAAGAGAATTATCTGCTAGCAGGGATGCCATTACTAAGTTTCTGAAATAGCTACCAGCAACTTCAGACAGCTACTCAGAATAAAATTCTGACCACGCTTAAACTAAAAATACAGTATTCAAATAAATAACTATTTTTCTTACTCCAGCTTTATCCCCCAGAATATCCTTGTGGTCACCAAATCAACGTTTAGTATTTCAGAGGGCTTTTGAGCTGGATCCTTCCCAAGCCTCTGCTTCAGACCGAAAACACCTTTCCCTAACAAGTACTGCAACTGCCCTGCAGCATCCTGTCAGAGGCGAGACTTCAAGAGGCAAAGTCAAACCTTTACGACCGAATATACACCAAATAAGTAAAACCCACTTCCTCATCACACAAAAGCTTTACGGTTTGCTTTCGTTAGTACCGAGAGTATGTTTGGGGCGTGCAAAACACCGCAGGTGCGTCTGCATTAGTGTTCTCCGTTCTGCTCTGGAGCAGATGTTTCAAGC